TCTAGATAACAAATTTCTATTTTGACAGATGGGATAGCTGCACATTTGAATCCGCCGTTATGGATTCCCGATCAAGAGTTAAGTTTAAGTTTCATGTCGGTTTGTCGGTGGTTCATGTGCCCCGTACTTGGCTGTATGCAATACACTTGAATTGATAGAGAAAGATTATCAACATTTCAAAGTTTGTAACACAAGAAATCAACGTGTAGAAACATGGTGAAATACACTTAAAATAAATGTGATTGTGCATATGAAATATCAAGTGTTCAAACAGTTCGATCAGACGTGTGTAGTTTTTTGAGTGCAGAAATCGTTCTAGGGTGGCTTTCGTCGCACCCGAGAAAATGGAAGATGTATGCGGCAAATCACACTTCGACGATTTTAGAGCTCTTGGAACCATGTTCGGTCGGTTGACAACCCTGCCGATTGCGCCTCAAGATGCCTGTACCCGGAAGAGTTGGTGAAATACATACAACTTATGGTGGGAAGGTCCGACTTGGTTATACCAACAATCAATACGAAACTAACGATTTTAAATTGGCTCACCACTTTAGTAGCCTATTGGTCCCAAGCAAACGATTAACGTACCCTATTCTAGTTGAAATTCTATTACTACACTATGTTTGTTTTGATTCGCTATGAAAGTTTGACAGATAACATCAGGGGTGTGTGGATTCATGCAGAACATGCAGGGGTGAGTGAAATAGCTTGGGACTGCTTGGGACCGTTGTTCTGGTACTGAGTGAGCCAAAAATAATAATGATTTTCTTCGGGACCTACTAGTCTTAGAGTTACCTCTATGGTTATACCGTAATAGCGAATTTGTTTTTGATTCAGTTCCAACCTAGATCGGGTATCAAGGTAGGATCGGATGTTTTTTTGTAATCTGGCTCGGGTTGAGGTTCGCACTGACAATAAGCTCGGGTTCGCACGGGTTGAAACTGGTTCCAACCTGGATAATAAACAAATTCGCTATAACATTACAGGAAATCGACGAGGAAGTAAACGAATCAGTGGCGGCCCCAACAAACAATTCAGAATCACAAATAAGCATACATATTGAATAAATGCTGTATAACAGTGTACAATGCTGAATAAAACGGGATGTCGAATTATGTGCTGAAAAAACCTCATTGAGAGCGATAGATGCGCCTTTATTCCGTTGTTTGCTCTGATCTGATTAATTTACTATTTAAAAGCTTTATAAACACACCAGAAGTTTAATCCAATAACAAACTGAAAAAAGTGTAATTTGATCGACAATCGACTGTTTTCAATTGATTTAATAACATGCTTTATTAGACGTCTTATAAATGTTTTTTAGCTCCATTATTAGATTTCATTGCATTGGTTTACAATATTGCTGTATAAAGGTGAATACAGTCAGCAAAATAGCTTTTATACCACTATGCGTCCATGCGTCATAAACGACGTATTAGATTCATTATTCCACAACACTGGTTCCGTCTAACAACAAGACGAAATCAGTAGAGTAGTGGCTACCGTTTCCGCGTTCCAAGTAGAAGGTCGCGAGTTCAATTTCATGCTCAATCCTTTTTTTTTATTTGTGTTCTAAATCGTAATCATCGATCAAATCACTCACGACAACACATTCGTTGATTTAGTTTAGTAAATAACCCACAAACATAGATTTTTTTGCCGAGATTGGCACCACCGAGCAGGAGATCTCGCAGGAATTCCCGTTTGTTAACTGAATCTCGGTCAATTTTTCACTGAGATCCAGCAAAATAGATTTCCGAGCTGCTCGGTGGTGCTCATCCTGGCAAAAAAAAATCTAAGTGTGCAGCATCCTTTCCTTGGAAATTGAAGAGGTGAACAGGTAGAATTGGTCTCATGTTAAACAACGATGAATGAATTAATGATTCCCATTGGACCTTGGGACGATCGGGAGTGCTGATAGATATTCAGTTTCAAGCAATCTTTTATTGAATATTGATGTATTCTAGGATAGCTCAGATGGCAAGGAAAGCGGCTGGTGATTGGAAAGTACATGGTTCGGAACCCATGCAACGGACATGTAAATTGTAGGTAATAAATTTTCTAGCATCTGTGTAGTGCGGCCTCATCAGAAATAATGAAAACCATCACTAATGGAAAGACAACGCGCTTGTCTGTCTGTCGTTCTTTATTTTCGGGTTAATTTTCCTGCAGTTGAATAATCTTTTTATAAATGTATAACAGAGTCTAATTTAAACGTTACTTCAAATGACAATCAAGCGTATACATCATCGCTATCTAAGGAAAAAGATGTCTAATAAACGCTGAATAATAAAAACATTTATCGAATAAGCTTTGTTACAACTCAAGGAAGTCGAATAAAAGCTTCTCAACATACCTTCGCCAACACCATGTTGTGGTTGAATAAATTCTCCAGATTTGTGTGAACAAAGCCTGAACAGAAGTTATTAATAAAAATTGTACAAGTATTATTAAGCATGCAGTTGAATAAAATCGTCAAGATGTCGTTTCTTCAATAGGAGATTGTTTGTTGGGGGCCTAGCACCATCCGAGATACTCGCTCGATGTGCCCAGCAAGCCGTGTTTCGACGAGATATAGAGTTCCTTCAAAAGGGATACCAGCTAGCCAATAAAAGTGCAGCTGAATCACTTTTTCCGTTTCTGGATGAAGATGGAACTCTGTGTCGGATGATCGCTACACAATTCGACGCAATCTTTCGAAATTAAGCATCCTATTGTACTGCCGAAGTTTCATCGGTACACGAATTTCTTGATTATAGATCTGCATGTTCAAAACCCACACGCTGGACCAACACTACTAGTAGCAACATTAAACCAAACATACTGGATCCTGGGGTACCAAACAGTTGTGCGCAATTATGGTGAACAGTAAATTGCGTGCGATGTGTGAGATGGAAAGCAAAAACCGCAAAGCAACTTAATAGGAAGCTTGCCGACTGTAAGGACCGTAGCGCTACGAGCTTTTAAAAACGTTGGCGTTGATTACGCAGGCCCAATTTTCCTGAAGGCTAGCGCGCCTAGAACTACAAAAAAAAACAATAAAAGAATAAGTTACGGTTTTTGTCTGTCTTGGAACGAAGCAACTGACCTTGAAGTGGTTACGGATCTGACATCGAACGGTTTATTTCTGCGGTCGACGAGGTTTACTTAGCCAAATCTGGTCTGACAACGGGACAAATTTTGTCGGTGCTGATCGCCAACTGAAGGAGCTTTTGCAGTCAGCCACTTTTTATTCCGAAGTTCGTTGCTTGAGCGGTCTTGGGATAAAGTTGGAGTTTTATAACGCCGTCTGCCCCTCACATGGGCGGAATATGGGAGAGTGCGGGGTCGTGCTTGGGAAATAGACGGTAACCCACCGACAAACCGACATGACACTATTAATTCTGACTTATGCCCGAAAATCGTAAACACCCGATTTAAATGTGCAGTGATCCGAACTGTCAAAACCATAGGAATTTTCGAGCTAGATAAAAATTATTTGTCGAGAATAGATCAGACACGAACCAATTCATAACTTTTGCATGCGGGTCCATGGCTTAGCTAAATATTTCCCGCGAACACGGAGTCAGATGTCAGTACTGTGCTTTGGTAAGAATTTTCCTATGGCCATTCATGTCGGTTTGTCGGTGGGTAAACTACGAAGACATGACGACTATACTGGCGCAAGAAGAGGCATGCTTGAACTCGTGTTCACTGTGTGCATTTATCGCCATCAATTGATTCCTATAAAGGTTTGAACCCTGGTCACTTTGTAATTGGTCAGCAAATTAACTTGGTGCCTGAGCTTAATGTCAGCTGTATTCCCGAGAACCGTCTTGATATGTATCAGCGTTTACGTAAAACGGTTAGTGACCTGTGGTTTCAAGACTGAATACGTGTCGACGCTGCAATCAAGGAACAAGTGGCAGGAAACCGAGGAGAACTTGAAGGTAGCAATAATATGTACTCCAGCAGCATACTGGGAGCTTGCTCGTGTTATAGCGATCGATCCGGATCGAAACGGAGTAGTGCGCAACGTGACTCTTCAGAGAGGCCAAACATCATACCAACGATCTGTACATAAGCTGGTGGTGCTGCCAACTAATTGAGGCATCCATTGGCGGGATGTATGTTACTGATTTTTTGTACGATCCCTTTTGGGCTGATGCATATATTGTCACACTCTAAGGGGGGAGGGGAGGTCTAAGATTTTGTAAAAAGCAATGCAAGGAAAAACGACATGATAGGGGGGAGGGGGTAATTTTTTGCTCGATTTAGCGTGACATAATTAATGCATGGACCCTTTTCTCATGAGCCAAACATTGACGGCTTGATAAAGGAACTTATGAAGCAGAGAAACAGCGTCAAGCAAACCGAGCCGTCAACGGGGCGACGACTTCCGTTTTCAATAACCTTATGTAAAATTATTATAAAGAATTACACAAAACGAAAAGCACGCTTTCTCGCTAGTCATTTTCTGATTATGAAAGTTTTAGAGTTGTCCCGTCATTAAACAGTATCATATCACCTGAAGCAGTGTTGGAAAAGTTCGCGATATTTCACGAAGTTCACCAAGGGAAAAGTTCACGAGTCATAGTGATTTTTTGCGAACTTTTCCATCACTGACCTGAAGTTACACAAACTTATGATTGTATTTTAAATAATACAATAAATAGTACATAAGTGAACCACCCTAGTCTTCTATATCGTATTTCAAGCTTATTGCGTGCTCTCAACTTAAGTGTTCTGGATGCACTTCCACAGTTATTATTTGAATGCTTTCGATGCCTGTATCATTTTTGCATTGGTATAATTGTGTGGCAAGTACAATCATACTCTATTCCAGGGTAGTTGAGAAATTTTCCAACCCGAAAAATTCCTATACCGGACCGGGAATCGAACCCAGCCACCTCCAGCATGGGCTTGCTTTGTAGCTGCGCCTTTACCGACCGAACTAAAGGAGGCCCCTTGTAGTACATAGATGATACATAAACTTAAAAAAATAAATCTGAAAAACTCACCTTCCTCCACTTTCTCGCGCTGCTTCCGCAACTGTTCGGCTTCCTTCTTTTCGCGAATGTTCTGCACCGTGTTCTCCCACTTTATGGTCATGGCTTGCGACTCCTTCTTCAGGTACTGTTTGTATTCCGCTTCCTTCTGGGCCAACGTTTTGCCATCCTCGGTGACGACGACGGCGGCCGTTTGCGGTCGAATCGATGCCGTTCCGCTGGCCTTTGCCAGCAGTTGGTTCCATTTTTCTGCCGACAAAACGACAGCCTTCTGGTGGTGTCGGTGTTGGCAACCATTAGTGGCCGACGATGAGGATGACGCCATCGAGGACGACGACACGTAGCTTGGCCGACGGGATTGCGGCTCCACCGGTTGATACAGTTCCTTGATCATTCTGGGCTTGAGCCAGGAATTTGGAAGACGAACGGACGGAGGTTGATCCAAAAGTGAACACGATCACGTGCTGAGCGAAAAAGAACGATTTCAACGCTTGCCTTGATCCTGAGCTTGAGTGCAAGCAGAAACAATTGACGAGTGCACGGATGGATTTGAGTTCACTCACTCGACAAAAAGTGACACAACAGCGGGGCCCTGTTTACTAAAAATGAACACATAGGTGTTCATTTTTAGTAAACAGGGCCCCGCTGTTGTGTCACTTTTTGTCGAGGGAGTGAACTCAAATCCATCCGTGCACTCGTCAATGCACGGCGAAACAGCTTGGGGGTGAAAACAAACAACATTCGCACGCGCTTTCGTAACCATGGCAACGAGCTTTTTTACACGCATCGCGACGGAACGGATGACGTTTTCCAAGCCGTATTGAAACTTCGGATATTGAAAACAAACAAAAAACTGTTCACGAACACTAATTAAAGTGGTTGAAATTACTTTCAAATGTACATTTATTCCGTCATTCCTACAATTTCGTTCTTTCGATAATTCTGCCGACTTTAGCTAGCACTTTGCATGATTTTTCTCTTCTGCCTAACAATCCTAATAGTTCGACGGTCTCATACCAATCATATTAGAACGATTATACGGTCCTCTTTCCGAGCGTAACGAAGGCGAGAAACCGAAAACCCAACCGTTGATCTCGCACTCGGTTACAAAAATCACAATTGCTGCATATTTTGTTCATTTCAAAAGCCCCGCTGGACTTTTCTCAAAAGACATTCTTCCATAGGAAACGTGATAAGAGAAGTTGTGATAAACGAGGATCCGCTTCACACCGTTTTGAAGCAATGCATCGTAGTTGTTTTTCGAAAACAAAACCGAGTTCATGTTCCTGCTTGGAAAACTATTATAAATTAAGCTTACTCACTACATTCTCTTCAACTTGATTCATGTCCGACGAATTTCCTTTCGCTTTATTCTACCAACAAAATAAAAAAAAGGTGAGAATGGAAGAAACCGGGGGACACTCCCGCCAAAATAAATTCTTCGCCATTACGACACACGCACGCACTCTCATTCGCACTGTTTTCCCGCTTTCGCTTTCTAAGTAAGTAATCGTCCTTGGGAAATTTCGTAAATCATTTTCTGTCGGAAATACGGCATGTGCTGTTGGCTGAAACCGATTGACCGGTTCCGCGACTCGTGTTCTGCAAACATACAGCTAAACACCCCGCAGTCACTGCCATTCATCTGGCGGGGACATTCCCGCATGTTCTCCTTCGTAAAGCCACTGGTGTCGAACTGTCGTTTTCGCTTATCCAGCGACTCGTCCCGCAGGTATTGTTCCAGCGCGTTCAGGACCGAATTGTTCGGCGTCCCCATCGAGTCGTAGTATCGGATGGCTTGGTTCCGCAGATCGATAATCGCCATGCACCAGTGCACCCGGCCCACGTGAACCGGCACGGGAATAATGTCGTACGTGAAGATGTCCACCTTCCGGGTCCACCGCTTCAGACCGGAATGGCCGGCCGAGAGCAGCTTCGGGATGAAGAACGTATTCATGGCGTACACCCGGGGAAGACCGTCGTCGGCGCGGAGCTCGCTACGCTCCATCATCAGGTTCATGTAGAAGTTGATCACCTCGTCGTTGAGCCAGTTGTCACCGATCAGCGTGGCCAGATCGTTACGGGTAATGCTGATGTTGAACTTGTTCACGATGACCTGTGGGAAGTGGGGAGTGGAAGATTTTAGCAACTTCTTTTGTTATGCTCTCAGCCGGAGGTAACAGAATTTACTACGAGGGATTTAGCAACGAAGGATTTTTGTGCAGAGGGCTACCCCGTTTGGCGTAATAGTCATATGGCATATTGGACTTCTGCATGCATTTTCCATCAGATATCACTGTTGTTGTTTGCGGTGATATCGATCCTTGATCGTCTGCTTGAAAAGCTCTATTAAAAGTACCCCAATAGTTGGTCGGGAGTTCCAGTGAGTCGGGGCGCCAATAGGGCGGAAGTGCCTGTTTTAGTAGTTGCGTTGTAATATTTATGTTGTATTTGCATCTTGAAGAGATTTTGCTAAAGTTATGCCAGACTACTATGCCAATCGGTGTTTATGCATGTTCCTAAACATGAAACATACCTCGGAACGTGATCCCCCGTAGAGTGCCCGCTTGATCACTCCCTGGTGCTCGTCGGTTAGCTCCGGGTAGGCTTCCTCTTCCTCTTCCGATTCCTCCTCGTCCAGTACGATCGTATCGAACTGGAGCATAAAATCGCCCAGCTTCCGCTCGAATGTGCCCTCATACTCCTGGGTACTCTTCTTCAGTTCCTTCAAACTAAAAGCAATGCAGGAAGAGATTTATATTTCGGTGAGGGCGGTTGTTCTTCGGAAAGTTCGACTTGCTTGGCATAATTGGCGCTGCTGCTGCTGCTGCTGCCGCCGCTGCTGTTCCAATTACTTGAATTATTTGGAAACACAAGTTGCCAGCGCAAGGCAAGATCGCCACAATTTGAGGGACAGGAGAGACGTGGAAAAAGAGCGCACACAGTAGCAGCGTTCGAAAGTCTCAAGATAATAGTCAAAGACACGCAATAGATACTCACTTTTCACGCTCTAGCGCGATGAGGTCTTTCCGCTGGCTGGAAGTATTGCTGTACTTGCGCTGAACGCTGTCCACAATGTCATCGCGGAACTTGCTATTGGTTTGGAGCTTCTCTTCTAGCGTATTCACCGGATCAATGACTTGCGCTGTCTCACTGGAAAATGAATGAACAAATATACAGAGCGTTGATGCTTTGAAATGAAACCGCCAATCACCATGCCGTCCAGAACTTTACAAATAAACGCTCCTTAATTTTGCAACAAATGTACTGGATTAGACAACCGCAAAATACAGTTGAGTATAAACATAATTTGAAAAAATATAAAACGATTCGGTTCATTTTGACGAACTGCCACTTGTCCCGATTGTCCCTCGCTCACTAGGTTTAAAAAAAATAATACTCACGCTGCGTCTTGAGCTGTCAAGTTGTACTGCGTCAAATCGACGGTGGTAAACAAGCTTGTGCGCTTCTTCCGTCCCTCAGAGTCGCTTTCCTCCAGCGACAGATCGATTACCGGTATCGACCGTACCGTGCCGCTAGTGGACGGTCCGGCTCTCGACGAGTGCCCTTCGCCGCCGAGGCTGTGATTGATGGCCGTCGACGAGGACAGGTTGATGTCATCCGACGACAGCAGTAGGGAGTTCTTCCGCGAGGTGGCAGCACTGGATGACGATGGTTCCTCCGGTGAGTATAGATTCGGCAGCAACCGCTTCAGCAGTGCACGATACTTGTTCATCTCCGTCAGATCGTAGCTCTGCGCTATGATCGAGTTCCGCTTGGTCTGCTGTTGCTGTTGCTGTTGCGTTTGCGGCTGCTGCTGTTGCTGCTGCTGTTGCTGCTGTTGCTGCTGCGGAGTCTGGTGAGATTTAAATACGAACGGTTTCTTGAACGTATCCTGCCGACTGTTGTACCCTTCGGCATTTCCGTTGACCATCTTCGTCCGGATGGGGAACAACGAGGGGATCGGTGCGGTGGAAGGTTTAATTTTCGCCAACGGTGGCGGATGCCGGAGGGAGCTACCTCCGCCGCCGGCATTGCTGATCCGGTGGTTGTGCGGCTGCTGGCGATTGATCCAGTCAATCTCGTCTTCATCGTCAGAAAACTCTATGTCGGCAAACTCGAGTCGCGTCTTGCCGGCGTTGGCACCGAAGTAAGCACTCTGCTTGCCACTGTTTGTCGACTCCGACATGGTCTTCTTTGTGTAAACTGGATGCCTTAGTCTGTCCGTGATAGGTTCCGCCTTGGGGTAAAAATCTACGAGAAAGAGGGACAGATGTTGATTAATGATGAAGCCTTAAAGAAGTGGGAACACGGTTGAAACACGCACAGTCTGGCACGTTTTACAGAATTACAAGATTGACAATTTTTGATTATTGAGAACACAATTTTTACAAACAGAATAATTATTGATGTCATAGAGTAACATTTTGCTTTTATTCATTAATTACCATTACCATTGGCACATTCGAAACATGTCCACAATGAATTTAGTAACCAGAGTGGCAGTGAACTACCAGTTTAGCGTCCAAATAGAGTTTCCTAACCGATAAACTATCCCTGATAAATTAACCAAAATTAACGATCGCGAATTCCCGGGAATTCCATTCGGATTACCGGGAAATAGCTATTTTTCACAAAGAAATTCCAAGTATAAATGTCAAAAATAATGTAATTCACAACCAATGGGAAAACATTTCCTGGAAATTTGGGAGTGCGGAGTATATAGGAAGAGGAAATCAATTAAAGTTGGAATGAACTTTCACGGGGAATACGAAATAAAATTTTGGTATAAGTTGGAAAAAGTCTTTTGAAGGAAGTCGGAAGAAACTATCGGGGATAGTTTAAAAAAAACTTCCAAGGAAAGTCTGGAGCAACTTCCAGAAACAGCCATAAAGACTTTTTGAGGGATTTGGAGGACTGTCCCAGAAGAAGTCATAAGAATCTTCCGAAGGTTGATTCAACTTCTGGGGAAGTCGGTAAACAACTGGGAAAGCTAGAAGAACTACAGAAGAAACATCCAGTATAAGTTGGTATAAAAGGGGAAAGTCTGGAGATACTTTCAGTGACAGTCGAAAACTACTTCTGAGCGAACTCAAAAGAAAATTCCATTGAAAGCTGAAAAAGCTTCCTGGAAAAAACGGAATCTAAAAGAAAACTTCTAAAGGATACTTCAGAAGAAATTCGAATAAATCTTCCAACATAAACCTAAAAAGATTTGGGGCAGTTAGAAGAAACTTCTTGGAGCAGCCAGAATAATCTTCAGAAGACAGACACTGCCTGGCGATACCTGCAAGAGTTCAGAGAATTGTTGATAGAAGGAAGTCAAAAAAAAAAAACATTCGAATGCAGACGAACAATATTTCCCGGCATAGTGGTTAGCATCCGTACCTCTCACGCCAAAGTCACGAGTTCAAATCTCACCCCCTGACAAGCCACGAATAGCCCAAGAGCGTTAAAGTGACTATCAAAAAAAAAATCCCGAGGATACCAGAAAAAATATGGAAGCAATTGGAAAGGAAATTTTTTGAAGCAATTGAGGCACAGAGAAAAGATTTCGAAGTCGTAGACTCTTCATAATTTTAAACCAATCAATTTTGAAGATCTACGATGTAGAAACTTCTGAAAAAAAAATCATTACTCTGGAAGCTAGACAACTTTTCTAAATCACAGTCTAAGAAAAAATCTTATTTTGGAACGGGGAAAATGTTGCAATATGGAAAGATTACGGACATAGAAAATGTTATATGCGTCCTGGTATGCGTCTAGGACTTATGTAAAGGGTAGAGTCGGTATATAATGAGTCACGCCAAGAGTGAAGCCAAGTCTACCTATTGAACTGTCAAACCGGCTACCTATCGTGCAAAGTAAATAAACATTACGATGCTATGAAAGGTCCACGAAAGGTATTGCAATAAAATATAAAATATAAACAAAGAAATGAGCATAAACACGCAGTGAGCGTTAAATTGTCATGGGATACGCTCGGTATTGATTAGTAATGTGAATTTCTACAATTTTTTGTGAAGATAATTTGACAAAATCACTGATATAATGATTTACTACATTCGCAATATTTTTTCTCTCGCTAGAAGTCATTTGAAGTTGTTGTAGAAGTCCTCTGTTGCCAAGTGAAAAGAATGAGAATCTTTCGAAAACCGTGATGCGAGTTCAACTGTTTTTCTCTTGGCGTGACTCATTATACACCGACTCTAGTAAAGGGTTTTCCAAAAGGGATTTCCTAGCTTTGACAGTTCATTGCGGCCATATTGTTTAAGCTACAAGTCAGGCATAACATTTGATAACGGCACAAAAGCATTTGTAAACAAACTTTCTAAGGCCCTTTACGTGCGAACCAAAGTACGCCCACGCAAACCAACAACATCATCGGATAGGGACAACTATCACCATCACCCCAGAGTTTTCTTCCGGAATTTTCCGCTCATAGTCCAACAGTTAAAATTTTCGCTTTCAAAAACGGCTAAAATTTAATTAATTAAAATAGTAAATACCGATAAATACCGATTTTTTAAAACCTTTGATACCGATAAGCTTTAAAACATTCTGGCAACGCTGACTGAGGGAGTTGATGATCCATTAGGTTTTGCACCGTCGGGGTTAACCTCAATCTGATGACAGTTCAGTGGTACTGTTTACGTGGACTTAGTCGATTTTTTCTTGGGCAGATTTTCTGGATCATTTTTCAGATTGCAGTGAGCTGTAAACCACACTTTTGCAATGTCCACGAGCAACATCCTTTCACCACGCATTTCCTCAACAATTTTCAAGTTAAAATTCGGAAATTTTAAAATATATTTTTTCGAAAAAACGACTAAGTGCTTGTAAACAGTACCACTGAACTGTCAAAAAGGTTCAGCCGTTTAACACTGAGTTCATTTGTGACGTCACGCTGCAGAACCTTATTCAGCTCCGTCGACTCCGCAGCTCTTTTTGTATCTGGAGCTGAACGTCAGGTCTTTTATTAGGTTCTGCAGCGTGACGTCACAAATGAACTCAGTGTTAAACGGCTGAACCTTTTTGACAGTTCAGTGGTACTGTTTACAAGCACTTAGTCGTTTTTTCGAAAAAAAATTTCTAAAGTTTCTGAATTTTAACTTGAAAATTGTCGAGGAACAGCGCGTTGCAAGGATGTTGCTCGTGAACATTGCAGAAATGCTGTTTACATCTCACTGCAGTCTAAAAAATTATCGAGAAAATCCACCCAAGAAAAAATCGACTAAGTCCACGTAAACAGTACCACTGAACTGTCATCAGATTGAGGTTAACCCCGACGGTGCAAAACCTAATTAGGTTCTGCAGCGTGACGTCACAAATGAACTCAGTGTTAATAGGCTGAACCTTTTTGACAGTTCAGTGGTACTGTTTACCCGCACTTAGTCGTTTTTTCGAAAAAACAAAGTCTAAAATTTCCGAATTTTAACTTGAAAATTGTCGAGGAACAGCGCGGTGAAAGGATGTTGCTCGTGGACAATGCAGAAGTGTGGTTTACATCTCTCTGCACTCTGAAAAATTATCAAGAAAATCCACCCAAGAAAAAATCGACTAAGTCCACGTAAACAGTACCACTGAACTGTCATCAGATTGAGGTTAACCCCGACGGTGCAAAACCTAATTAGGTTCTGCAGCGTGACGTCACAAATGAACTCAGTGTTAATCGGCTGAACCTTTTTGACAGTTCAGTGGTACTGTTTACAAGCACTTAGTCGTTTTTTCGAAAAAAAGAATTCTAAAATTTCCGAATTTTAACTTGAAAATTGTCGAGGAACAGCGCATTGCAAGGATGTTGCTCGTGAACATTGCAGAAATGTGGTTTACATCTCACTGCAGTCTGAAAAATTATCGAGAAAATCCACCCAAGAAAAAAATCGGCTAAGTCCACGAAAACAGTACCACTAAACTGTCATCAGATTGAGGTTAACCCCGGCGGTGCAAAACCTAATTGAGCTTACATCGGATCTTTTTCACCCGCTTGTTGTCAAACCACCACTATCGTAGAGCGCTGGAATACAACTGAAGGGAGAAAAGTTGTTTCGCATCCCATTTACAGTTGCAGGGCTGGTAGCGATCACTGCTGTCAGAAATAGTGATTTTAGTGACCATAAATAAGTGACCAAATAGTGACTTGTGGTTGTAAAAATAGTGACTAAAAAGTGACCTAAGAGAAGGCGCATTAAATAGATGTTTGATGTTTTAGACTAAGTCAATTATTATCTCATAAACACTCATGTACGATATTAACCTTTAAAGCGGTTTGGTTTTGGAACATGCATATTTCCTAAAACAAAATGAACTAGTTCTGGACTTAAACGTTATAATACTTCAACAAATTTTTAAGAATCTGGAGTCAACTTCCATGCACAGTTTTAAAGACTCGAGGAATTTTATTATAATTTCTAAGGACCTCATTTCAAAAAAATCATTCAAAAAAGCATCAAATGCAATCTGCTTTCGAGGTAGTTCTGAGGAATTTTAGATTGCATGTGAAGCCTTAGTTTTAAGTATGGAGTTAAACGTACATTTTAATGAAAAATCTTAGGAATTTCTGATGAGCACAACTCTTGTGAACTTCACCGGAAAGTTCCAAGGGCATTGTGATAATTTCATAAAGTTTGTGGGAAAAAAGAATCCGGAGCAGAAGTCTTTGGATATTTTTTGAAAATACTAAAAGGATTACAATTAAATGTACGAATAACTCCACAACATCTTGAAAGGAATTCGGAAAAAAAAATTCAGGAGAGTTTTCCAAACAAATTATTAGAAGAAATCTAAGGAATGTCTGAGGAGAAATGTCAATAAATTGTTAGAAGACTTTTAATGTGAGTAGAATTCCATGGGAAGGAGTGAGATTGAAAGAGAAATCTGAAATGAATTCAATGAATACTCGGAGAATCTTTCCAAAGGATTTCTAATTGTGGAAAATTTTAAGGTAATTCTGATAGCCTCATCGAGATTTTGAGCAAATCTCCGTTGAATGGACTATTTTGAAAGTTCTCATTTTTTTCCTGAAGTTAATGAAACTGCCATGAAGTTCTTTTGTAGTTTGATAAACTAGCCTGATGCTCACAATACTTCTCCTCAAATCTGGAACTTTATATGACTTCCTTAAGTTTATGTCAATTTGTATAACGATCATTGATCTCCTTTAAAGGTTAACAATTCACTGAAGCTCTCTAAACTTCTTTAAAATTTATGTGACTTCTCTAATGTTGACGGAACTGCTCTGAGGTTCTCTGTTC